AGCTTCTCACAGCAGCCACCCCTGTAGCCCCACCGTTACCAACACCTTGCCACACAAACCTAATATAAGCAGTGAGGGAAACAGAAGGGCATGCTGCCAGTCCTTGGTGGCATAACAGTACTTCAGGGACTGGTACAAGGCAATCAAAGTTTAAAATGTTCTCGGCTTAGCCAAAGCCTTAACTGGTCATTGACCAATCTCAGAATTAGGCAGTTTGATGTATGGTGGCTTAAGAGTATAAAGCATGTTTTTAATACCTAGATCCTGTACTAAGAGCAGCTCAGCTGGCATCAGGAGTGGGGTAAATCTGAAAGGACATGGAGAGTTTCGAAGTAAATGATAGTCACAGAGCACTTGTGCAGAACAATTTTTTTCTACGTTATTCATAAAGCAGGTATTTTCAGAGACTACTTCACTGGTTTGCTTATTCACAGATTATACATCTTTGCGTTGCAGCTTCCAGGTTTTAAAGGAATTTTTAGTAACATTTAAGAGAATCATAAAATTAAAGCAATTAGGGAATCTGAGTTTTGATGTAGATTCAGACATGTGTATAATAGTCCATGACAAAGAGCAATCATGGTGGTAGTTTGGTTACAGGCATGTTTGATCCCAGTGTCAGTGCCTCAAGAATTAGTTAATATTGATAAGTTTAGCAATATAAAGCTTTTAAAAACAAAGGACAAAGACTGGTTTTATAATCTGGTTCCCTTATCTTTTTGTGGTGATGGCAATCAGACATACCAGTCTGTCAAAATATATATTTGCATTAAAATTTCATTGAGCCAGTGATGCAAAATGTCCCTATCAAGCAAAACAATGGTATATAGTACAGCAGCTGTGCCCCACCCTTCTCTATACCTTATATATTTTTTACAAATTGCTTGCAAATTGTAAGCTGGATATGTTTCATAAATTGTTTGTTTTGAATTGACTTCTGCATAATCAAATGCACTCTCTTACCATTTGTGTTTTCTCTATCAGCTAGACTTGAAACTGCAGCGGTAGGAATACATATTGCTTTGTTTAGCACTTTTTGCTGGGTATATGGCTGATCTCAATTCCCTAGAAATCTTTCACTGACAAAGATTTTTATTTGTGTGAACATATAATTTAAAAAATCTGACTGACTCCTCCAATATTTTCACATTTCACTGGGTTTCAGGTTTTAGCTGAGGAATGCTGTATGAGGAAAAGTGATTTTGTGATGGAAAAATACCAGAGAGATTGTGCATTTGTTGGACAACTATTTAGAATGCTTTATTACTAGCTACTGACCCTTCATATTTTAGGAAGTCACTGGGGCTTTTCTGGCACCACTCCATTTCCAGAGTTCTCTCCCTCTTTAGTACATTTAGTTAACTCTGGAGATTTGGTTTCATATAATATTTATATGCTATTATTTAGTTTAAACTACTGTGATAAAACTACATAGAAATGTTTTGTCACGCAGAATCTTGCACATCTATAATTTACCAATCCATTGCCTAATCCCTTGAAAGGATTTTTTCAATTGGCCCTCTGACCCACCACGTTATCCGTCTAGGTCACTGAGGAATGTATTTACCTGAAGTAAGTACTGGTGTTTTCTTCAGCTTTTTCTGCTGGGACTGTACCTTTGGCCTTCTATTCAAAGACAGCGCATGTACACACCACAGAAACAAACCAAAGAACAATTTGGACCATGCTGTAAATTAAACCAAATGTAAAAAAAATAGACACTTTCATTGGGGAAAAAGAAAAAAAGTATTATAATTTATGTTGTTTGGTTAAAGAGGGATACTCAGACCTACAGAAAGTATTTTGAGATCCTCAGACCTACAGAAAAGTAAAATATTTTCATGTCTAGGAGAAGAAAATACATATATTTTCTGAAATCCAGAACCAGGAATTGTGCTTTAGAAGTATATATATATGCAAAAATCCTTTTTCTTTTCTCTCATCTCTGTAATGTGTCTTCTCAGTAAAAAGCCTGCACATGGTGCTTAAATATTTGTCTGTTACTACATCAAATGATTTTACTAGTTCTTGTCAAGTTAAGGTGCATACTGAAGTACCTGGGATCATAAGCTCTTTGTGATTTTGCACTTGTACTTGTTTCTAGAAGAGCTAAATAGACAGCATAAGTCAAAGAAGAACAGGTTCCACCTGAGTGAAAGGCAGTCTGTGTCTTGGGTTAGAGCAGGAGAGGTTGAGGGGGAAAGTGTCAGGGGAGAGTATTCATTTTTCTGTTTATCCTGGTGAGCTTAGCTTTTCTAGCCTGTTTTGTTAAGGGGATACAGGCTCAGAATTCTAAATAGGGAGGAAAAAGTGCATTTTGAGAAACTAAGCATGGCGTGTTTCAAGTCAGACTTTCAAAAGAATCTACAGCTGCATTTTTTTTTAACAACCTAGCCATGCAGAGAAATCTGAATGCTCGTATTTCCGACCACCTGCCTGCAAGTACATACCAAGCTGTTAGAAGGTGACTATGCAAATACCTCTCTGTGCTCAGGTTTCTTATAGTAGATCACTCATATGCAAACCCACCACCTGCGGTTGGCACAGTCTTCTTCCTGAAGAAGAAAAGATCAAACCTCAGTCTACCAGGAAGTGGGATTTAATGGCATCCACAGTCATGCTGAACTATATGTGATTACAAATGATTTTTTTTTTAATGACAAACTTAATTTTCTTAAAATCAGTGGGTTTTAGAAATTTCATGCACAGGGTGAGGTAAAAGTGTCTGTGTCCTGAGTCGCTGTTTGTTGCTGGATTTTTGGAAAGCCAGAAGCTCCTTATTTCTTGTAAGCCCTGTGAGGAGTCTGTTAGGAAAGGTTCAGAGTAAGCCGGATTATACATACCAGTCTGTACCACTACTGAAGAGATGAAACAGAGATCAATTAAAGTGCCAGCACCCACCATTTTAATTTATGTATTCATTTGCTTATTTTTTTTGACAGAAGGATAAATATTTCTGTGGAAATAAATTACAGCCTTCAGCATTGACTGGAGTTCATTCCAAACACATTTCCTGATCACTCTGATTTGGCAGGTGCTTTTATAGGATTTACCTTCCTGGGACCATAAACCTCTCACTGCTGGCAAGAGATTCTGCTCACCTGAGCACAGGATTAACTTTGTCTTGAAAAACCTTTCTGTTCTGTGTCTGAAGTATGTGGCTAAGGCATTTATTGGGGTAAATATCTGGCACACCCCCATATCTGTCTTTTAACTAGTCAGAATGACTTTGCAGGTATAACATAAAACTACCTCTATTATACGTGCGTTTCACACCAAAAGAGAAATCGGCCATTAGGAGGGGTGAAGCCATAGCAAAGTCATCTTCTTCATATAGATAGCAAGAAGAGCTTCTTGGCAAAGATGTTGCTTTGGAGCTACATAGAAATATTACTGTAGAAAGCCAGACACTGCCTGCCTGTTCCCTGGGAGCTTATGCAGTGACAAAGGGCACAGAAGCTTCTTCACCTGCAGCAACCCTGGCTTATGCAGGGGAGAGTTATCCCACCCAACAAAACTCTGCTTCTGCCGCCCCATCCCACCTCAGAGATTCCTCTGCTGACACCAGTAGCTTGATGGTTATTTTCTGTGTGGTGCAAGGGGGATTCCCACACTTGTACTTTTAGAGTTTGGCCATCCCTCTTTTAGAAAGAAGCCATCGCTCATCTATTTGAGGCACCTTAGCCACAGGATAACAGTGCACTTGCTCTCTTCCCTTAAAAATTGGTATTTATGGCTTGATTGATTTTTGCTGAGGTTCCATTTTCTGTCTGAAAAATGCCTACAACATCCCTCCTAACAAAAGATTGCGAAAAACACTTTGGATTTGGTGCTATGTGATTGTTTAACAGCTGGGGACCCCATGTGACCCCATTTCAAGCTGCAGAAATACAGGCTTTACACCAAGCAACAAGGTGTGCCCTAATCCATACAGGGCTGGCAACACAGGAGATCGCTTAAGATTACATTTGTGGCTGCAATACCTTTTCTACTGTTGCATGTAAACTCTGACCAGCCACTGACCAGAGTAACCTGTTATTTGTTTGTAGCTCACCCTTTACTCCTCTCTGGCAAGATTCCACAGGGTCAGTGGTTATATTTAGCATTAGTTTCAGTTAGTTTAGCAGGCCTTCAAACAGGACATACATTTGAATCCAGCACACCAGGAAATCATCATTGTTGCTTCATATTGGCAGTATAGGCTGTACTATTAATTTGCAAATGTACAAATTCACCAGTCTGCATTGCAGCCATGCACTTAAAATCTGGAATATGCAGAACACATGATAGGATACTAATCTGGAAACTAATAATTGTGTGATTTTTTTCACACTTACCATGTGCTTGGGTCTTGCAGTTGTCTATGTGTTCAAAGCTCGTAGGAACAGTGCGTTGACTATTGAATTTCTGTTTTGAGAAACGTAGGTGTAGTCAGCTTGTGTAAAGATTATGCATAACATTGGCTGTTTAGGAAGACTTGTCTTTAATGTTATAATATGAAAAAATTTTCTAGCACATTTAGATGTGAGCTAGCTTGTAGCTAACAAATTTGATTAAGCAATGAAAATAGTTTTGTTTGTATATCTTGACAGCAACTGACAAAGTGAGCATATAAAACATTTCTCTCAAGTCTGTATGCTGAGGAATGTCTTAGGAAAGCAAGCATCTGAAATATACCCTAAAATGTCTGACAGTATAATCTCTAGACTTTCTGCCTAAATGAATGACTAAGATGCTTGAGAGCACACTCAGCATTTTCACAATGCTTTACCAGGAATAGGTACCTATTTTGTCAACTCTGGTGGTTTCTCAAGAGAAAATTTCTCTCTCTGTAACTTTCAGAAGTTCCTCCATGGTGTCTAAAGTTAAAATACATTCTGGAGGAAAATTTGTGTCATGTGTGTGCCTAAGGAACAGTGAACAATCATTACATCGACTACTTTTCACAATCTACAGACTGCAAAATAGTAAAGTTTGCAAATATTTTTATTTCCTGGCAGATGTCCGTAGAAGAACAATTTATGAATACCACCGAGTGGAGCTACAGATGTCAAAGATTACCAATCTCTCAGCTGTTGAAATGATACCTCTTCCAAGTAAGTAAACCAAACATGGACAGGAACCAGATCTGGGAAGGATCCCCCCCTCTGCTTTCAGCAAGACATACACAATTCTAAATATTTTGTTTTATCTATGGAGTTGGAATCATGGACAGATTCATTTATCCTCTCTCAGATTTATTCCCAAGTGGAAGATGCATTATCCAGTGCATCCTCATGTATCTCAAGTTAGTTTATACATATATAGCTCCCAGTAGGTTTTGAATGAAATCTGTGCCAAAACATTTTTTTCAGAAGAATTATTATATTGCCTTTAAATTTGTTTCCTCAAGAAAAAATAAAAAAGAACAGTTTTGATGTTTGCAAGGCAAACACAAATTCTTCTGTGTTCTGTGCATCCTATTGCAAAGGAGTATCCCCAGACACATTTTGCAGTTCATCTGCCTCTTTTGTCCAAGAGTAAAACTACATTGTTTAGAAATCTCTGGGTTTAAACTGCAAGCTGTACTACTGTGAAAAAAACAGAATCAGCTGTTTAAACAGCTATTTTTCTTTTTTCTAATCCAATTACAGTTCTTAAACCCTTTCCTGCCAGTCTTATTATCTGTGTATTTCTGAATGTTACCAACACCAAGGAATACTGGAGCCAGGGAAGAAAGAGACTTAAGGAAATACTTAACATTAAGCAAAAAGATAAAAATTTAGCAAAATTTAGCTGAATGAGCAGAAGTGGAAGTGGGAATACATTTACAAATGGAAGACAAATGGAATCCTACAGATAAAATGTAGCTCTGTGCATACGGTTTTGCAATGTATTGTGACAGGGTGGTTTAAGTGTCTTATGTTGGACAAGCATGAACCTGTTGAGTCCCTAAATATATATTATCAGAAGGTGTATCCTTCTTTTGTGCTTTTTATGAGAATTATGTGAGACGTAATAATTTTTGTTTGTTTATCTGTGTCCCAGCTTGTCTCCAGTTTACCAGCTGTGGGCCCTGTGTCACTGCCCAAATTGGTTTCAACTGCAGCTGGTGCAGTAAACTCCAAAGGTAAAGAAAAAGATTTTTCTTTTTTCTTTTCTTTTTTTTTTTTTTTTTGCATGGGTATGCTCAAAGGATACCCAAAAACGTTGCTCATAGGTTCTTATAGATTATAGATCTTCTATACATGCATTCACACCAACATACCCCTCAATTGTGATTACTAGCCACATATTGTCCCATTTCACTAAGGCAAAGAGATTAGGGAAGAATGGTCAAAACAGTTGTTTTGGGACTTAAGCCCTTCTTCCTATTTCCTTAACCCTGCTTTAAAATCCTTTTGAAGGAGAGCAAGAAGTAGAAACCATAATAAAATTCACATTTTCTCCCATTATCCCTGGATTCATCAAAAATAATTTAACCACATGGAGTTGCAGGGTGGAAAGAAACTATAAAGACATGTTTGTTGTGTTAACAGTAGGGAGATTGATGCATCCAAAGATTCAGAGCCTGTTGAAGAATGAGTATTTATTTATGTACGGCACATTACACTGCAGGATCATTGTGATCAGGACTCATTCTTGTCTCAGCTTTGACAATTTTCTGCTTTCTGCCAGTTGCTTGCCTCTCTTCTTTTACCTTGCAGTTTCTTGGCATGTTTATTCATTTTAGGGAGGTACAAAAAAAGCCTTATTCCATTCTCAGTGAAGATGTCTGGATCACAGGAGAGTACTCAAAATCATCTACTTCAGTACCTCATTGTGGTTTTGCTCCCTTTGAAAATAAATTCATTGTGTTCTTTTTGCATGTGGTAAAGAAACACTTGCTCAACAAGAAAACCTAACTATCCTGGTTAAAAATCATAAAGGATGGAAAGTTGTGTGTTCTTTCATCACAGTGCTCCAGCTTTTTTCTGTGTGCCATTGCTCTTCAGTCACCAGTATTGCAAATCAACCTAGACTTTTATCTCCTGTCGCGATATATATTGCTCTGCTGCAGCAGAAGAAAATCTGGTAGGAAAAAAAAAGGGCAAAGTATTGCATGAAGTATTAACTTAGACATTTCAGAAGTGCCTAGAGTAAAAACAAAATTAATATTCACAATCCACTTTCAAATGAGTGCTCATAGGTTTTTTTTGAAGTAAGCAGAAGCAGCTGCTTAGAAGTAATACCTGAGTAGTCCTTCTAGGTTTCAAAGCTGACTGGACACACTGGTCTGGGAGGTGAGAAACCAAGGGTTGTCTCTCTTGGCTGTAGACAAAGTCAAGGTTGGGGAAGGTAATTAGCTGTTGGTGCAAAAGCCTGAAGAAGGCTTTGAACTTGATATTGACAGGTGTCCAGCATGGCAATAATCATCCAACTGATCAACCATCCAGTGCTCTTGATTTCTGCAGAGGATGAATGCTTGGTTGCTAGTGAGGAGAGACTTAGGGTACATTGAGGGCTAGATATGACTGTAACAGACAATAATGTTCCTCCTGGGGAGCTTCAATAGCACTTTTGGGACTCTAAAGTGAGATCTTCCAGCACAGACAGACTTCCATGTGGGTAACAAACAAACGTGTATCCAGCGGGACACAAAACTCTGTACTGATTCTACAACCTTTTTTTTTTTTTTCAACAAGTTATGACCCCATTTAGCCAGAGCCACATTACAACCAAGAACTGCATCTTGTATGTTGTTGTTTCTTTTTTTTTTTTTTAACTTGCATAAAATTTAAACCATATGTTGAATCATTCACAGAACAAAGTACTGTTGTTGGAAAAACAGAAAGCTTATATAAAACCTGTAAGTGCACAAGGAAATTAGACCAGCAGAGGCATTGCAGAATAACTGTACTCCCCCATGTGGCAATCCACATTGGAATGAAAATAACTATTCTACAACAGTGGATTTTTTCCTACCTGTAACTTCAACCCAGCTGCTATGCAATCTTTGCAGTGGCAGATTCTTCTTGTAGGTGAGAAAAACCTTCTATTCCTGTCACTTTCCACAGACTTAAATCACAGTTTCCTTTCTCATAAGGGATGATCTAACTATCCACTCTGAAATCCAATATGATGTATGTCATACAGTTTCATCATGGCTAAAGCAAAGGCACATTGTTTTCTTCTGATTTCAGCACATGAAGGAACCCCCTAGGACCAAATTTATTTTTTATCTAGCCATGTTCCATAGTTGTTCCGTAAGTAAAACAGACTAACTATAAATATGTGAGCAAAGATGGTATCATAGCTTTCTTGTGCCTATGAATCTCTGCTTCTAAAATGCAAGCAACACTTAGCATCTGTCTCATAGTAGTCCCCTATGGCTGAAAATTGGACTATTTGCTCTACATTATCTCTGACTTCCCAGCATGTAAAAACTGAAAGTATTCCTTAATGTTTTATCTGTTTATATCATCTTTTAATGCTTCTGTAAATGTTTATATACTCTGGTCACTTGATAGAGCCTGCATATTAGAGATGTCGTTTTCTAGGAAAGTTTTTGAAATCTTTAAGGAAACTTTGCTGTTATACTGTAGGTTCAATTTGTATGACTTGGATTACTGAAATAGTGAATTCTTTTGGAAATATTTGAAGTTAATTGCACAAGAAATAAATAGTGTATATTAACTTTAAAAGAGTTGACACTGAAATAGAATGGAAATATGATGATTAATGGTCAAAGAATTTTTAAAAGCCACCTTTATACAGAGTTTTGGAAAGATTTATATTTAGATTCTGTAGATATTGATGATTTTATTTTGATGAACTCAGATTTCATCAGTGTAGTGATACTGATATTTCAGTGGGTTCAGAAATATGCAGACAAAAGAGCACATTCTTGCAAGCTGTTCATGCTGGAGACTCAGATTTTGAATGTGTCTCAGGCTTCACTTCATTAACACAGGGTAAAACCATCTGCCAGTCCTTGCAACACCCCTCAGGTTTAGTGTGGTACTATCATTCCAACACTGGAGATGGGGAACTGGAGTAATGAAGAACTAAGGGCAAGAGCTGTGAAGAGTTTAGATGATAGTTTTATTCAGCTGTCACTGTTTGTATCTATATTCAAATTTTAAATCCTCAAAACTGACTGCCTTATGCCAAGGGCACCCAAAAGCTAGATCCACAAGGATTTTTTTGCTGTCTGACTTACGTTTTCAAGGGAAGTTATGCAGAATAAGAGAGCAGTACTAAAAGTACTTTTTCACCAAATTCTGAATTTAAGTTTCTAAGACCAAACAGGTCTCTAGAGCTCAAATGCTTTCTCTGAGGCAACACCTACAGCTACCTGACTCTAAGCAGGGCTCAGCAATGAAGTCCTTGATCCCCATGAAGTTCATCTACTCATTATGCATGACACTGCTGTTTACACAAGTCTCACAATGATCAGAGAATCCCTGGAGGCACAAGAGACCCTCTGAACCCAAGTCACTCCTGAAGAGTAGTGCATTACATGTCAATGTGCTTAAGCCTGAGCACTGAAACTTATAGACCCTTGCACAACTTCAGCTCAGAACAGCTCCACTAGCCTCTGGCAGTGGCTGCCTGGAGACTTGGCATCAGCTCCTGCCACTGCTGTCCAGGCAGCCTTGCTGGGGGCTTTCCTGGGTCTGCAAAGAAAGAAGGATTCAGCTTTGCGAGACCCATTCGCAAAAAGATCTTCCTTCTCTTAAGTGCTTAAATGAACTTGTATCCCTAAGAGTCTCTGTTTTCCAGACTATGCATTGAATAATCTGGTTTGAAATCATACCAGTTTAAGGCATTTACCCATGAAGTGAAAACCCCCACTTTGTAAAGTGTCCTGGAACGGGCTGCACAAATTTCCGTGTTGGACTTTCTGCGTGTAGTGATGAGCCAGGGCACTCCACGTGCTCTAAGCAGTTATTCTGCCCATGTGTACATGTAGCTCCCAAAGCCTCTTGTACTCTTAAAACAATCCTGAGCTTAAAAGATTAAAGAATCCCATTTGTGATACATTTCACTTCAATGCTTAATATCGTATGCCAGCAACAGTGCTAGTTGTGTAAAAAAAAAAAAAAAAAAAAGAAGGTAAGGCTGTTTTTTATAGAATGTGTTCTGAGCAAAGTGAAAATCAGAAATGTGTCTGGGAATACTAGCAATAATGAGATTTAAGTCTTGATACTGCTAATCTTTTATTATGATAATCACTATTCCCATCTAAGCATGTAATAAAGAAACAAGTTGTTTTGCATTCCATGCTGATTAGCTGGAAAGCAGGGAAGGGAAAATCTTTAGGCACTTGCAGTTCTTAAGAAAACATTTTACAGTTGAAATATGAAGTGACAGTTTTTCATGGTGCCCTTATGGTAACTGAGATTAAAAATCATTGCTTATTATTTGTCTTCAGAACTTCTGGGCAAGCTTGAAATGTCTTGTTTGTTTATTCTTCCTTTAGAAAGAAATTGGAAACATGCTTAGTTAATTTTCAAATCTGAGTTTATGTCTGGAAATTTTTAGTATCAGGAAAAGGGTTAGTATTTCTTTGGTTATTTTTCCATATGGTCCACCTGACAAGACCTATCTTCATAAAAACTGTGTTGCATCAAATATTATAGTACAAGTAACAGTCTTATGTAATCTAAAATACTTATCAGCTGAGCAAAGCAACACCCATACAGAAATATAAAAAAAGGCATAAAAATAATATCATACTTTCTGATTACATAAAATCCCTGATTTATGAAAAAAAATAATTAAATCCAAATTAGAAATACAGGGTCTTTCTCCATACATAGCTTACTGTTTGGTATCTACATTTCTCTCATCTTTTATTTGACAGCTGACACCATAACAAAGCTTGTAGATTCCATTATGGAGCAGAAAAAGGCTCTGGTTTGGATGGGGTGGGATCTTGAAGACCATCTAGTTCTAACCCCCGTGCCATAGGCAGGGACACCTTCCACTAGACCAGGTTGCTCAGAGCCTTATCCAGCCTGGCCTTGAAGACAGCCAGGGATGGGGCATCCACAACATCTCTGGGCAACTTGTCCCTCTGCCTCACCACCCTCTCCGGGAAGAATTTCTTCTGGATATCTAATCTACCCTCTCAGTTTAAAGCCA